CTTAACAATGATTTGTATCACTTATACTACTGATTATCCTAATAAATTATTATATTTTGATGTGAAATTCACCATGAAATATCGAAATTCTTGCGCTGTAATAACACCGTTTCCGTCTTTATCAAAAACCCGAAATGCTTCTCGAATCATTTCAGAATCGGTTTCCTTCATCATTCGTTTCATCATTACGCAAAATTCAGTAAATTCAATTTGACCATTACCATCAATGTCCACTTCATTAATCATTTCCATTATTTCCTGTAACAAAATTAAATTCGATGTTTAATATAGAATAAAAAAGGAGAAAAAAAAAGAAAACATTTCTCCTTTTTCAGATTTTCACGTAACACTCATTGCATTCATTTTCAAAATATTAATTAATATCCAAAAATTGCATCATCAATTTAAACAAAAAAATGTTATTGGGTGGAAATAAAAAGTGATATTTTCGGCATTTCATCCCGAAAAAATGAATTAATCTTCGGAAGATGATGTAATTTTTTTAGATATTAATTGTTTTGAAAATATTAATGCAAAGGTTTTTTTTTTTCAAATAAAAAGTTAATGAAATGAATTGATTACGTTCTTCTTATCAGGCATTTGCCACTAATAATTAATATTTGATGTAAAAATTAATCCTTAACGGTATTAGTTGGATGCCAATGCTAATAGGAAAAATTAATGCAAAATTCCGAAACGAAACAAAAAAATCTGAAACTTTTTTTTTTTGATAACTTTTCTATTTTCATAAAATTAAAATTTTCACATACCTGCTCGGTAGGATTTTGTCCTAATGATCGCATTGCAATACCCAATTCCTTGGTTGAAATTGTCCCATTACCATCTTTATCAAACATCACAAATGCTTCACGAAATTCATCAATTTCTTCCGGTGTTAACTGTAATTTTTTCTCTGATGTTCAAAATCAAAGTTTCTATCAACTTTGACCTCATAGTGATATTAGTAATCTTAAGTATGGTGATAGTAGCAATAAGCAGACAGCGTGTAAGTATATAAGAATAATACATTTCTGGTGTTAGGCTTATTAGATTCAAACGGTTTGTGGTTAGAGTTGAATTGTAGTAAATGATTTAAAAATTTAATTGATAAAATTATAGCAAGTTAATTGATAAAAATTACAGCATAATCGTAAAAATAACATTTGTTCGTTCTGAACCTTTTAATTTTTTAGCAGTTTACTTTAAAAAAAAAAAAAAGTAGACAAAAAAAGAATCATCAAAAATCCCAAAAAAATATTTATACTAATCGAAAATCAAAAAAAAAACAATTTGCTTATAATTTTTTTTGACAATTTCATCAATAAATTTTAGTGAAAAAAAGTTATCAAGAAGAAAAATACACATCGCATTCCAACTTTTAGCTTATCATAAATCGTTTATTGCAAAATTTAGTAAATAAAATCAAATTAGTTTATTTTTCAGCAATAACGATTAAAAAAAAAATACTTCCTCTAAATATTTTACAAAACTGTAATCAAAAAATGAAAATCAATTAAACAATTAGTGGAAGATTATGATAACATTGAAGATATATTTAAAAGAAATAAACGAAACAATATTTTGTACCTGTTTAGTGATATCCTCATTGAATTGCATCATACTGGATGATTGTTGACCTGTTGCGCCTAATGCCATTTTTTCTAAAAATTTTTTTTAATTAAAAAAAAATTTTGTTCTCTCTTTTTTTTTTTTGCTTCCCGCACAACGCATAATATTTTCACGTACAATACGCTCAATTTCGGATAATTATTTTTCGCTTTTTTTTTTCCTTTTATCTTCTTTGGTTATGTATTCAATTTCGATTTTACAGCATTCATTTAAGCTGTCGTATTTTTTGGCAGCAATTATTTAAGCTGCCATATTTTGGGCAATCATTTAAGCTGCCATATTTTGGGCAATCATTTAAGCTGCCATATTTTGGGCAATCATTTAAGCTGCCATATTTTGGGCAATCATTTAAGCTGTCATATTTTGCAAAAGAAAAAAGAGAAGAAAAACAAAAAAAAATGAAATATATTAAATGATCATATCACATTAACCTATAGAAGTTTAAAAAAAGAGAAGAATAGTTGGAGAGCAAATACATATCATTGATAACTACAACAATTCAGCATTTTTTTTTTGTTTTTACATAGCAAACGAATTCTTTTAAAATATCAGTGTTAGAAAGAAATTCAAACAAGTGATAAATTTTAGCAGGAAGAATTTCAAAAATAAAAAAGAACAATATGAGAAATAATTGAAGGAAGCAATCAAAAATCAGAGGAGAGAAAAAAGACAGCTTCCAAAACTGTGAAATGAGATATAGCATTTTAATTGTAATAAATTCATTTCCAATATATTTTCAAAACGAAATATAATTGATATCAAAGATGTTAAATTTGGAAAAAGAATTTCTTTTTTTTTTTCTTTTATTTTCTTATTTTGCTGAAAAGGACAGCGGCAGTAGGAAGAAATTTAAAAAAAAGAAAAAATTTCTCTATTCATAAATTTTTTAAATTCACTGAGACAAATTTCAATGTTGATTGCATTATTTAAATGAAATGAAATGTTACAGCTTTTTAAATCTTACATTGTAACAATCTGTACCATTTCAATTTTCTAATGAAATCAAAATTCTGCGTATATAATTCTAAAAATCTTTTTTATCTCACAATTTTTTCTATTTCCGGATTTAAAAACAAAAAAAAAAAAGCTTTACACAATAGCAAAAATAAAAAAATTAAGCGTTATTGAAAGGATAAATTCAACAGTTGTGACATTTGACCTCATTTGTTTTTTTTTTTTTCTTTGTTTGCAATCATTTAGAAATTGAAACTGAACTATCATATTTCAAAAGGACTAAAACTCTCATATTTCACAGATAGAATAGTTAACAAAAAAAAAATCAAAATCAAAATCTATCAAAATTTTATCAATTTTTTAAAATTTTCTTCAGTAAATGCTCGATTAGCGTTAATTCTTGACTATCGCCTGATCGAAAACACTCAAATAATCACCGTAATAATATGTTTGTTACTAGCAAAGAAGCTAAAAATTAGCAAAAACAAGCAAAAATGAATGAGTGATTATGATGGATTAGGTGAAAAATAAGCTTAAAACAACTGTTTCAAAGATCGATAATGTTGCAAAATAATATTAATAAGCCATTGAAAACAGCTATGATGCATTCATATATTTTTTGCTCTCGCAA